AACACTATTATTTTGTACTAGATCACTTCCTTTAGGGAAATTTAGGAATCACAATTTTAGACTAGAAAAAGGGGAGACGATTAAAAAAAAGTCTATCTCCATATCACACATAAACATCTTTTCCTAAGTTTACCTTTCAGGTGTCTTTTCCTTGCAATACTGTACAAAAGTTCCCATGATTGTTACGTTTATGTTGCGCTGAAGAGAATTGAGCCTTCTTAGCATTTTCCAAAAGAGAATAGTCAAGTTGTGAAAAATATTCCTAAGGCAACTTCCCAGAAGATGTATTATGGAAATTTTGGAGGAATTATTTTTATTTTATTTATTTCCTTTCCAAACTGTTTTGCGCCCAGGAACCAAAATCTGGGAAGCAGAAAGCTTCATGAACATGAGATCTTCCAGAGGGGACTGCAGCTCCCCGAATACTAGCTTGAAATTCTGGGAGCTAATAGCTTGAAATTCTGGGAGTTAATAGCTTGAAATTCTGGGAGTTAATAGCTTGAAATTCTGGGAGTTAATAGCTTGAAATTCTGGGAGCTAATAGCTTGAAATTCTGGGAGTTGCAGTATCAAAACATCTGGAAGGCAGCAGGCTGAGGAAGGCTAAGCAAAGGGTTGGCCAACTTGGTAAAGAAACAGCAGTTCTACCTCTTGGAAAACATAGAGACTACCAGTTTAATGGTTCCTGGTACTTGTTTGCCTTTGAGTCTTACTGATTAATCATACTCATCATTAAAAACCTTCCCTGGTTTTTAATGCATGTTTTTGGACTCAAATCATCCAGATAGATTGCACTATATCTCCTCAGGCCATGCTAGCTGAGGATTCTGGGAGCTAACGCCAACGAATGAAGGGGGCACCAGGTTGGGAAAGGTTACATTGAATCATCTTTTTAATGCTCAATTTACATAATGTGGAAGCAATTGATTGCAAGGATAGGATCACTAAAGTGAAGGTAATTTGCCACCCTCAGCTCCTTTTCGTGCTTTCTTGACATTTCCCCCCTAGCAATCAAGGCACCATCTTGACTGAAAGAGCTTGACTGCTAAATGTGGATAGATTATAAAACTAAAAGAAAAAGAAAAAAGAAATTCCAGTTCTGAAGTAACTGCTCTCTTCTCAGAATTGCTACAGGAACCATTCAAGAGAGACCTACACCCCAAAATCAATTAAAAAAAATCAATCCTTCACCCCATTTTGTATGGGCTTAAAAATAAAATTATGCCTTTAATATTGAGTCTAATGTTACAGAAGAAAACAATATTTTGGAAACTGCAAGAGGAATTTCCAACTGTTATTTCATTTGTTTAATTTACAAATTAACAAATTTGTCAATTTGTCAAGGCAGAGTCTCTCCCAAGTTTTTCCCCCCACCAGCTAGATTGAGTTCATATGAGATAAGCTACCAACACACACCCTTTCTGTCCCTAGGTTATGTAAGTCTACAGTTCCTTCCATTACTATCTCAATCTTCCCATCCCACAACCTCATATTATTGATTTGAAAGGTGGGATGAAAAGACCTAGAATTTAAACTCTGAGGGAGAGACATAAACACAGGATATGATTTCTAAGTGTTGCAGAAGGCAGCTCCTGAGTGTGTACATTGTTGCCTGCAGTGAAGTAGCTAATTTGGCTGTGTTGGGTTTGCCTGCCTGAATGTGGGTTAACTGTCAAGTTAGAAGTGCCATATTAGCTTTGAAACATGACATTTCCACTGCATGTGGCCTTTTAATGATTTCACATTGTGTGGAAGAGTCCACATAAAACAATCACCAGTAGGCAAACTGGTTTTTTTTTTAATCCTGCCTTTATTGTTTTTTATAAATAACTCGAGGTGGCAAACATACTTAATACTCCCTTTTCCTCCTGTTTTCCCCACAACAACAACAACAACCCTGTGAGGTGAGATGGATTGAGAGAGAAGGACTGGCCCCTGGGAGAGTCTCCCACATATCTTTCATGCCTAAAGCAGGACTAGAACTCACAGTTCCTGATTTCTAACCTGGTGCCTTAATCACTAGACCGAACTGCGTCCTTTTTAAAGTGCAAAATGCACTGCGCTAACATTCCTAGCCTTCCAGTAATCTGTGTATGTATTTTATTCCAAAGAAAACACTGTGCTGAAGCCACTCATCATTTTAGTTTTCTAAACACATCTCTAGGTTTCATTGAAACTTAGAGGCATTACTGGAAATACATATTACATTTGCGGTTAAGCCTTTGCTTTGCAGCTTGATCATTATGAAAAAATTATGAGAAACATTTGAGGAACAGTTGGGCGAGCTGGGTATGTTTAGCCTGGAGAAGACAAGACTGTAGGGAGACATGATAGCTGTGCTGACATAACAGAAAGTTATGAAAGAGCAGACATCTTTATTTGTTGTTCCAGAAAATAGAATAAGAGACAATGGGTTTAAATAACAAAGAAGTGTTTTTTGCTTGAACATCAGGAAAAAAAATTCCAACAGTAAGAGCTATTAAACTAACAAAACAGCTATCTCAAGAGGAGGAGGTATTCAGAACAGGCTGAATGGCCATTTATTGGAGATTGTATATAAGAGCCGTGATGGCACAATGGTTAGAATGCAGTATTGCAGGCTAATTCTACCAACTGCCAGCAGTTTGATTCTCACTGGCTCAAGGTTGACTCAGCTTTCCATCCTTCCAAGGTCGGTAAAATGAGGACCCAGATTATTGGGGGAAATAATGCTGACTTTGTAAACCACTTAGAGACGGTTGTAAAGCACCGTGAAGTGGTATATAAGTCTAAGTGCTATTGCTATTGTCAGGCACAAAGGATCAGAACCATAGGTTAAGTTGCATTTCAGAAAGATTTATTACCCAAGTCTATACAGAAGAATCTAGTCAACACTAAATTGGTGGTTAATAAGGTTAACAAGATTCAAGGGGAGTTGGACTTAGATCTTTTATGACTATGCAATGACTCCAATCTAGTGGTGTATTTAACTCCACTCTCCAGCTCTGCTTGCTCTTCTCCTATGTCAATGTTCTAGGAGTGGATTCTTGCACTGGGCAAGAAGTTGAACTGGAAGATCTCCAAGGTCCTTTCCAAATCTTTATTCAATTACTATTCTAAACAATTACAATTTATTTTGTAATTAAAGGAACCCTAATATAATAGAGAGCTAGTTTTGTGTAGTGGTGAAGGCACCAGGTTAAAAACCCAACTGTAGTGCTGCTTTGGGCACAATGCCAGCTGGAGGACCTTGGGACAGTCACTTTCTTTGAAAGAGATGATGGCTAACCACTTCCCCCCCCAAAAAAAACTTGCCAAGAAATTGCAGAGACTAGCGCAGGCAGTCAGCAAGTCAAGGAGTCAAGACTGACTTGAATTCTGCATCAAGCAGGCACCAAAGAGGACAAGAAGTCCATCAGACACTAAGGAAGATGACATCTGACATTTGGTACCCCTTGGCATCATACTGAAAGATCCAGGCCTTAGACAACAATATACAGTAATTTAGAGACCCAAGACATGAAGTAGAGCAAAACAAACCATTTATGCATTTATGAGGAACAGCCAGAAGGCTATCACCACCAGTTTCCATCTTCTATCACCCATTTCACTTTATAGCCAGCCCTGCAATGAAGCTCTGATGAATGAGAAAAAAACCAAAACCAGTCCAGTTTCAAAATCTAAAATCATGTGTAAAAAAATCCAGCAATGAGAAAAAAAAATTAAAAAAATATTACTTTGACTTCCTGTTTAAAATCGCCGCTTAATCACTTCTGTCAAAACTTTTACAGATTCTTTCTTTCCCTTTCAAATCTTAAAATAAAGAAAAAATTCTCACCAAACCGGCACACTCTCTCTTTCCATTCTCTTTCGTTTCGGAGCTGTCCCAACTTCAGCAGCTTTAATGGCTGCCTCTTTGCTGCTTGCAAAAAGAGCTTCTCCTGGATCTACCAGGGACTTTGTGGTGTCCCTGGGATCGACAGGATGCACTTTTCACTTTCACCGTCTCTTCGGGACAGTTTAGATCCGTTTGGACCGTCCAGGAGCAAAGATATCGGCAGCGATCTCAGACCTCCAAGATCACATGCTGTATCGTCACGACGCCAGCTCCGCCCATGGTTTTTTAAAAGATCATAATTACAAAATTCACAGGAATTATTAAAAAAAACAAATACTGTGATATTGTATTATAAGTATTAGTTGTAGCAATAAAAAAGAATGATGTCTGGTTTTTTTTCCCACCTGGAGATTTATCTCTTCTGTGACAAGAGTCGAGAGTAGGATAATTAGATATATTTATTGACATAAAACAAACAGGAATCTTGAAAAAGTGTTTAAAAATTAATGGATGTATTATTTTGCAGATCAGCATTTACACCTTTCCCAATCTGGTACCTCCAATTGAAGACGGTTATAGATCCCAATATCATCAATCACTACAATATTGCTTTGAACTGATTTACTCAATTATAATATCAGATTTAAGACACCCCCAAAATTCTGCTTTGTTTTGTCTTATTTATTTATTAGATTTTCATCCTGTCTTCATTTACTTCAATGGACTGAATTATATTGGGAACTCAATTGATTAATTCCCTCCAGTGTTGGTACTTTGGACTGAGTGCATGCAGAAGTAATTACTTTTGCTTCCTGCACTTTCTTTTCCTCCTTGTAGTCATGGGATCACTCAATTTATTTTTGGCTTTCCATCTTGCTAGTCTGTAAAAAGTGGCTAATAGAATGAGAGTAACATTTCCAACTGGATAGCAACCATTTTTAGGGAAGGAGTGCAATGGAATACAATAAACTAAAACATTTAACATTTTGGTGGAAATCAATTCTGATTAATTTCCTGTTCTGGGCTTCAACTGATGGCTTGTTTCCCTAACATGTTTGGGACTGGGATGGCAAAGAAGGAATTCTGATCATCCGCTGAGATATAAATCAATACAACTAGGAAACGTATATGGAAATAAATACTCTTTTGATTCTTATTTCCTCTTCCTTCCTTGTTTTCTGCAGAGCCAGCTGTCCCAGGCCCTGAATGGACTTTCAGACAGAGCCAAAGAAGCCAAAGAATTCTTGGTACAGCTACGCAACATGGTTCAACAAATCCAGGTACTGTGTTGACTCTAATAATTATGAACAGAAGTAGAATGTGAGCAGAGCCACTATGTGGCATTCAATTCCCTGAACTTAGAACACACACAATCAAACAACATAGCAAAACACAATTGACAACAGATTGCCAGTCCTCCTCTTTTTCAGCAATAACCCAATCAACTTTGTGATGACCAATTCTTTAACAAAATACCAAAGAATGGGTTGGGGGTGTATATGAGAGATGACTCATTGCATTTAGAGTGGAAAAGGGCTGATCTCATCCACCTCTCTGTCTCCTTGATGGGTAAATTGCACAAATAAAAATAGCTTTATTTCCCATGCAACGATGGTGGAGAGTCTAAACAAAAATGGAGAAGTGGAAAGTCTCTTGCAGTACTGACTTTGTTCTAAATCCAGACTATGGAGACTAAAGCTGGCTCCTGGTTAAATCTCTATTTTGGGTGATACACTACTAGACTGTGGATAAAATAAGCTAATAACAGCCAGGCTGTAATTACAAATTGTGATCAAGGCATTCTATTATAATCATCTTGACTGACCCCACTCTAAATTTGGATTACACAATAAGGCAAATTACAATATGGCATAATACAGGATGCAAACATGAGCAGTTTTGACTGACTATCAGTCAGTAATAAAGATCAATTAAATTGTCCATTCCATAATAATAGTAATAATGAGAATAAGGATGGTGATGCTGATGTTACTACCGTATTAACAAATCATCATTTTATTGATTTTATGTGTTTGTGCATGGATGTGTTTTCCCCTTAGAGTAGTGTTTCCCAACCTCAATAATTTTAGGATGTGTGAACTTCAACTCCCAGAATACCTAACCACCATTGCTGACTGAGGTATTCTGGGAATTAGCAATAGCAAATAGCACTTACACTTATATACCACTTTATAGTGCTTTACAACCCACTCTAAATGGTTTACACAGTCAGCATATTGCCCCCAACAATCTGGATCCTCATTTTACCGATTTTGGAAGGATAGAAAGCTGAGTCAACCTTGAGCTGGTGAGAATTGAACTCCTGGCAGTTGGCAGAATTAGCCTGCTGTACTTCATTCTGACCACTGTGCCACACTGCTCGGTGTTAAAGTTCAGACATCTTAAAGTGGCTGGAAATTTTAAGGAACATATTTGTCAGGCTCCAAAGTTGATTTTTGCTCCTTGGAATAATACTCTACTGCAGTGCTACTCAACCTCTGCAGTTTTAAGATATGTGGACTTCAATTCCCAGAATTCCCCAGCCAGCATGCCTCAGGTTAGGAAAGACTGCTCTATTGGAATAGCTGACTACCATCTATAATAAGGCTCTCCAAACTTGGCAAGTTTAAGACTTGTGGACTTCAACTCCCAGAATTCCTGAGGTAACATGACTGGAGGAGGAATTCTGGGAGTTCACAAGTCTTAAAGCTGTCAAGTTTGAAGACCCTTGATCTATAAAATGGAGTCATATTTAACACACTGAAATCACTGATATAAGCTCAGTATACTTAATTCTCACCTTCCAAAATGACTTCCACGTCTCTACAATCTGATAATAGTACCTGTATTTGGCAGCTGATCTTTTTTTTTTCTAGCTTACCTGCACTGTATCAGAAATCACACTAAAAGTGATAATTTCCATTTGGTTACAAAGAGACGATAAGTGGACTATTTCCTTTTGGGTCCTGCCCTGTTATAACCATTATCCCTCCCTGTGCCCTATTCCTTTAGCATCCCTTCTTAGTGCCCATTGGAAAAGCATTCTAAATATAGCCTCTCTCCCACCTTCTGCCCACTCTGGCTGCCATAGCAGCAAATTACCAGGATGAAGGTATTGGAAAACATGTCTAGCCACAAGAAAATGCCAATGTGCTGTGATTTTACCATGCTAATTTGCAAAAGTTAGCAGAGGATTATTTTCTTTGCTGCTGGAAAGTTTCTTCTTATAATCACCGATTAGGTTAGGGCTGCTGCAAGAGTTGTAAGTGTAAGAATCAGTTGTAAATCATTTTTCTCAGTCAAGTTGTAATTTCAAATGGTCACTGAATGAATGGCTGTAAGTTAAGGACTACTTGTATGTTTTCCCAAGTGTATGTCTGCGGAGATTCTCAATCATCCAGGTCATGGTTGCCCCAAATATACTTTTCCAAAAGGCAACTGGACTTCCTTTTTTTAACCCTTGAAAACATTTCTCTTCTCATCCAAGAAGCTTCAGAACTGAAGAAGCTTCTTGGATGAGAAACAAAATGCTTTCAAGGAAAACAACAACAACAAGAAAATCCAGTTACCTTTTGGAAAAGCACCTTTGGGATTCCCAGGGGTATCCCCAGAGGGGCCAATGATGTCCAAATGGTAAGTACAACTGGAGGATTGAAGTCTCACCACTTTTTAGATGTGAGGGGTATGTCTAACACATAGTAAAAAGGGTTGGGCTTTGACTGGTGGTGCTGAGAATTTTTAAATCATTGATACTATTCTGATCTAGGCTTCCCAAAAGCATGAAGCTGACTCCTTGTCCTGATAAAAACCCCTTTTATTTATTTTAGAGTGAAGTCCTCTCCAACAAAGTCCTGGCCAACTTTAAAGTGATTTTCCAATTACAGACCTTTATCAGGCTTGGAGAGCTGCCAGGCCGATATCTTCCAAACGCCACTCCGTAGCAGACAATACTTGGCAAGAAGTCAGGAACGGATCTTCACCCTAATGAATTGAACTAATTGTCTCCTGCAAAACCCCACTCTGCTTTTGCTCCTCTTTATTCCTTATGGGAGAGGCCATTCAACGTCCACCTGTGGCTTTACTCCCAAGTCAACCCTTGTTCCTTAGCTGTTCCCTTCTCCTGGCAGCTCTGCACAGTGGGAACAAGCTCCAGCTGTTCTTCTGCCCCACTGATGTCTGACTTCGAAGGCAGCTGATAACTGTCAGGTGGCCCTGGTCTCATTTCTGCCTCCAACGCAGAGCCTTCCTCAGACTCCAGGACTGGCCCATGTTCCTCCCCAACCTCCTCACTGTCTGAGTCCGCTGCCAGCTCTGCTGGCCGCTGGCAGGCCACAACAGATAGCCCCCCTTCCACGTGACACCTTCTACACTCTCCTTCCCATTCCCTACTTCTTCAGGGAATTCTAGTTGTGGACCTAAAGGCAAAATAATAACTTGACATCTTCCAAAGTATTAGACTATCCCTGCCATTGGCAGATGCTGATTGGGAATAATAGAGCTGGCAGCGGGGCAACATGGGGAGTGCCAGAGTGAGAAGAAATTCCTTGCTAGAACAAAGGGTTCAGGGAAAGAGGAATGCGGAAAAGGGGGAGCAAAGGGATACTCACTGAAAGATCCAGCCCAGGATAAATTCCTTCATTTTCTGTCTGCCATCCAACCTGATAAACCCCAAAGAAACAAGCTTGTTGCATCAATGCTTTGCATTCTCCCCAATGGAATCAGCCCTTCAATCAGAATCAATTTAAATTTCAGCAGCACAGATCATTTGTCTTGGCTCTTTGGGGTTGTTGGTTCTCTTGAGTGCTGCCTCCTCCCTCCATCATTTTCTGAGCGAGCAGGAGCCTCATCCATCAAGTCACGTCAACTCTGTGGCCAAATCATTCTCGCTTTCTTTGCGGCTGCCTCCCCCACGAGCGCAAGGCTTCTTTATTCGGTTCAGTGGAGACACATTCCTCCATGAGCTGCTTCTCCTGTCCTCCCCTTTGTTCATGCAACATGCGACCCACCCATTCTGAGACTTGTGATTTCCCCCCTCAGAGGCTAATCATTGCTAGATAGAGACTGAAAAGTTTCAGTCAGGGCTTTCAATTTCTGGAATACTCAATGTCTGGAATACTCTACCCAAAACTTTAAACTTAGACTGTCTACTATTGACCTCACCCCTTTCCTAAGAGGTCTGTAGGGGGCGTGCATAAGCGCACCAACGTGCCTACCGTCCCTGTCCTATTGTTTCTCTTATTCTTTTATTTTTCTTATATGTACCCATTTCATGTATTCACAACTATGTATACACTTATACTTATTATCTTGTAAACAATTGGCAAATCAAATAAATAAATAAATAAATAAATAAATAAATAAATTTCCAGGAACGTCTCTGGTTTTAGAAGAATCTCCATTGGAGCCAAATTAGAATAATAGGATTACTGCAGGATCGGAAGAGCCAAATTCTGCCCAAATCGGAATTTTATCCTATGAAGTTTCACTCTGAGAATATGAATACGTGTTTGGATTCGGGAGACCAATATTCTAAACTTTCCTTCTGCAAAAGTTCTCAGAGACACTTTGGGCAACTTGTAACCACACATCTGATTGGGCAAGGTTCTTTGGGAGAGGATATTTTTAAAGTAAATATTATAACATGAAAAAAAAAACCCACATTTGTTTGGAATAGCAGCTTTTAAAACGCTGTAAAATAGAAATCCTAAACATGTACAGTTAATCCTCGACCTATAACAGTTTGTTTTGTGACCATTCAGAGTCAAAGGTGAGTTATGACCATTTTTCACACTTATGAATCCCCTTGCTCATGTGATCAAAATTCAGACTCTTGGCAACTGACTCATTTTTATGACAATTAGAGTGTCCTGGAGTCATGTGATCACCTTTTGGGATCTTCTGACAAGCAAAGTCAATAGGGAAGCCAGATTCATTTAACAACTGTGTCACTAAGTGCAGTTGATTCACTTAACAACTGTTAAAAGGTCGTAAAATGGGGCAAAATTCACTGAACAAGTGTCTCAGGAACAGAAATTTTGGGCTCAATTGTGGTCAGTCAAGGACTACCTGTATATGCGATTCAGTATCAGTTTATCAGTCTTCCCTATCTTGCCTCATGCTCCAAACAAGCTTTAAATATCTTTAAAACCTTATGTTAACGTTTATTTATATTAATATTTTAGTCAAAAATGTTTTTTATCTGGAAGTTACTGTCCAAAGTAAAAAACAACAACAATGGAAGTATTCTGCTGACTGTACATACATTGACTAACTAGTGCCTGCAGAGATAATGGAAACTGTCTTTGTTATTAGGCTGTGTCTCTGGCAGCCATTGGCTGGTTCCATTTGCATGATATATTTAAATATATCTTTTAAAATCTGGTGAATTTAAAAAAAAACAGAGTTATTTCTGAGCCAGAGACTGGGCTCTATCTTCTCTCCCAAGTCAGCAAGGTCTGTTGTAGGGTTATTTATAATCCATCCAGCCAATGCCTGTTGTTTGACTCCATTACTGAGGAGTCGATAATTCAATAAGTCCATTATTATCCAACTTCTTCCATGTATTTTTGAAGATAGGCAGGTGGAGAGAAAGAGATAAGATATGAGCATAACTTGCTGTAAGCATTTCTTTTTCCTTCCACCAACTCCCCTTACCACTAGCTCCCCAAACATTTATCGGAATGAAGCAAAGACAGAAAAGAGGTGAGACTAACTCCACATATCATCAGCCCATGCTCATTGCATATATGTGTATATACCACATGCATGCATGCACAATGGAAATGACAATGGTTCCCTCACGACAAAGATGGCTGCTTGTGATATGATCAGAGCAGCCATTCTCACTCCAGGACTGTCTAGCACCAATTAATTACCCATAGATTGAGCTAGACTGAGCTTGCTGTGTAGTGCAAGAAGAGCCCCTGTATTTACACAACACACAGAATCATCATTAATTCAATCTATTGTTTAGGTTGTTTAATGGCTTCATGTAACACACTGAACCAGAAACTATCTAACTTAGCCTGACACAGTGTGTGAACCCAGCAGGAATGGCTCCTAGAAGCAGTCTGAAGAAAACAAAGAGCCCAGAGTTAAAAACAAAACAAAACCCAAGATGAGGGTGATGATCTCAAGAAGTTTTTTGCAGCAAAGAGTGAAATCAGTCTTATCCAACAAACCAGCTGCTTTTAGTCCTTCCTGTTGCTTTGACTGATGAGTATTTTATTTTGATTGCAGGAGAACAGTGTGGAGTTTGAAGCTTGTCTGGTCGCCCAGTGTGATGCACTTATTGACGCTCTCAACAGACGGAAAGCCCAGCTGTTGTCACGGGTTAACAAAGAACATGAGCACAAACTGAAGGTAAGTCTGAGGATAATGAAATTTAAGCAATCCACTTCTCTTGGATGGAAGAGGTTGGTGGACATGGCTAGAAAAATGCCTCTGTGTCCATGTAAGGTGCCCGGTATGTCAAGCCAGGCACTTTGAGACGGTTGCAGTTCATGGGTGAATAAATCAGCTAGTCCTATTGAAAATAGCCAAAATATGCTGTTATATCTACTGGCTCAGTAGAAGACTTAATTTTAAAAAGCCTTTGTTCTAACCTCTTTTCCAATAGGATTGCTTTCTTCACTTCCTGTTCCTTGCATAAATATTTCCTTCCCTGCAGACATTTTATCCTCATGAAGAAAAATCTATCTACTGATTGCTAAGAGTCTACACCGACTTGAAGACACATAATCAATCAGTCAATCAATCATTCAGACAGCATTTTGGGACTCATACATTGTGCTAAGCCATGCTATATTTATTGGTAACAAAACTCAATGAGATGGTTTGCACAATGCACTAAATCAAAGCCAAATAAATATATATGATGACTTAGAGCAGCCGCAGACTAAGTTCAGAGAACACACTAAAGTACAAACTAGTCAACCATAGCTCATGTGCTAAATTTATGGTTATCTTCCATAGCCAGAAAATCATGTTATTGAACAAATGTTGATTTGTTCAATACTAATTAGTATTTGTTCAATACTAATTAATTATTAGTAAACACATTGCATGAAGTTAGGTGAGTCTTAAATGTTCAAATAGGAATCTTTGCTATTAGATGAAGAATACTGCAAGTGTGTGTGTATTCATCTAATAACAAAGATTCCTATTTGAACACCAGGACTCTCCTCCGTTCAATATGTATATTTGGAACAAATCCAAATCCTTTTTAAAAGCCTGTGTTTTCTCACACTTCTGCATCAGGAATCTATTTAATGTTACTACATTTTTTTAAAAGAAATGCACCTTTTTGAGGCTTGGTTAATGAATAGAGAAAGATGCTATGTTCATGTTGTGCGGTCCAAAGGCTTCTTCCAAATCTTCTCTGAAGCGTGCAAAGCTGCATTGATTTCCTCTTACTCCTTGGTTTAATGCTTTAGAGTGCCTTGGTCCAGTTCCTTTCTGCCTCCCAAGTACCTCTGAATCCACTGGGGGGGGAAACAAGGATCCTTTGCAGCACTCAGACTAATGCAGGAGCCGAAATGAATTAGCAGTGGGCGCAGGAGTCTGTGTAAGGGAGGGCCTGAATATTTGCCATGGCAGCTGTTGCCATAGAGACCTCCTAGGATGGAGGGAGGGAGGGAAGACACGGTGGCCGCTAAGGACCAGCAACAGATAAACCCAGAGGAGTAAATCTGAAAGGGGGAGACAATGGGTTGGCCACAATGTACATTTGCTGTGAAAATGTTATGACCCTCTTTGAGGGAAAGGGTTGTGGCTGCCTGAGAGAACTGATGGAAAGAGAATTGCTTGTGGAGAAACAAGGATTTGAGAGATGTTTAATGGCAGCCCTAGAAAGTTTCTCTGCATTGAGTCAGTGGTATTATAGGTTTTTCCCCTGGCATTTAAAAAAGCATGGAGGTCTTTTCCAGCTAGTTGACCCAGGTGGCTTTTGTTCAATAGGGGGAAAAAAATAACCAAGAGATTTCTGGGTCTTCTTGCTCTGTAGGCAGAGACATTTCACTCATAGTATTTAGGATTCCTTAAATGCATGTCCCTCATTCCATTAAGTTTTAGTTATTTGAACCCTATTGGCTTTTATAGAGCAGAGTCAGAATTGCAGTATAACAAAGTTGGAAGGTACCTTGGAGGTCTTCTAGTCCAACCCCCTGCTCAAGCAGGAGACCCTATACCATTTCAGACAAATGACTGTCCAAATGAGTCACCCACGTTCTTCCTTTTAAGTAGTATATAGGGGAAGGGTTAAGATTAGGGTTGTCTGGATTCATGGAAAGCATTAAATCACGGTTTACAGACTATAAGCTTTACAAGCTCTACAACTTTACAGAGCTTTACAAGCTCTGTAAAGGACCTGGGAATACTCACCTCTAATGATCTAAGTGCTAGAGCCCACTGCAACTACATAGCCAAAAAGGCATTAAGAGTTGTTAACCTAATCCTACGTTGCTTTTTCTCTGGTAATATCTCACTACTAACCAGAGCATACAAAACATTTGCTAGACCAATACTCGAATACAGTTCATCAGTCTGGAATCCTTATTACGTATGTGATATTAACACAATTGAGAAAGTCCAGAAGTATTTCACAAGAAGAGTTCTCCACTCTTCTACTCGTTGTAGAATACCTTATGCCACCAGACTCGAAATTCTAAAACTAGAAAACCTTGAATTACGCCGTCTTCGGTCAGACTTAAGCATGGTATATAAAATCATACATTGCAATGTCCTACCTGTCAATGAATACTTCAGCTTTAACCACAACAACACAAGAGCACACAACAGATACAAACTCAAAGTAAACCGCACCAAACTTGATTGCAGGAAATACGACTTCAGCAATAGAGTGGTCAATGTCTGGAATACTCTACCCGACTCTGTAGTCTCTTCCCCAAACCCCAAAAACTTTAACCTTAGACTGTCTACTATTGACCTCACCCCTTTCCTAAGAGGTCTGTAGGGGGCGTGCATAAGCGCACCAACGTGCCTACCGTCCCTGTCCTATTGTTTCTCTTATTCTATTATTTTTCTTATATGTACCCATTTCATATATTCACAACTATGTATACACTTGTACTTATTATCTTGTAAACAATTGACAAATCAAATAAATAAATAAATAAAATAAATAAATATAGACTCTGAATTTCCACAACATGCTAAGCCAACATGTCCACTGTTAGTTTGTGGTTTAGTGTGGGACTCTAGCCAGTGTTTTTATAATTTTAATGTATGTTTAACATGTTGTTCAAACCCAGCCAATTGTGGTTTATTCACTGATCAGTGATAATAATGTTCTGTGAGACAGCTTCTGCCTCATCACAACATGTGAAGGCAGACCAACATTTTTGCTGCCTTTAATGGCTCTTCTGATATGATATCTGAACCACCAATTAGCCAACCATAATATTAGTTCAGTGGGTTTGACAAACAAAGTCTATGTGATTAATTTGTGGTTGAGTCTTTTGTGTGAAATCAGAAAATTAGGTCAATTAAATAAGCATAATTTAATTAATTATTGGAAAGTGTCTTGTGTGAATATTGCCAGTGCATAAATTATGATATTCTATGGTTTGGTATGATCAGGGTAATACATGGGGTGGAGTACTTCCTGATTCTACTACTACAACAGGAGAATAGGAGAAAGAAACAGTTAATTCTGCAAAGCCAATAATAAGCTTTGTGGTCTCTTAAATGCCTGGACATAAATGTTTTTTTCCTTCAGCATCTATTAGCTCAACAATCACACATTGTCAACAAACATCAAATCTCCCTCTTTGGTTGTTCTAATCCCCTTTTTTTGTTATTTATTAGCTATAAAATTATTGAGGATTCAGATACTTTACTGCAGGAAAGAATTCAGTTGTGTAAATAAAACATTCAACCCTATGGATCAATCTTCCACATATAATATCTTGCAGAAACATTCACCAATATGGATGAAGGTGCTGCAGCCCAACCTGCCCAAAGGGGTCCCAGTTAGACAAGACAAGACTGACACACAGATTTTAGCCTTTTGAGAACCGATCTTGATCATTTCCAATTTGCAAAATTAAATCTTTTCAAACTCTTGCCAAAACTCAAGAGATCAGTGATGTTCCCATTAATTTTACCAAAGGCACGACACAGCTTCAGTACCACCTCAACATGATCAAGGTTTCTCTTTCCAAACTTTTTTGGGAATCCTTATTAGTTCTGAGCCCCTAAACAATATTCTCTACATTTCTGCTTCTTTTGCATGCAGGTAGATCTACCATTTGTTTATTTATTTATGTTCTTTTTATGGCCCTTTCATCCCTTTATTCGGGGTGGAGTCGGGATGACTGAATGGAGCTGAATGTTTACTGGCCGGATGCCCTTCCTGATACCTAGAGAAACGTCTGCCACTGCCTAGGATTAAACTCTCAGCCTTTCAAGTGGGAGGAAACATCTTCACCTCTAGGCCACCACATCATACCATTTATATATTGCCTTAATTTTCTTGCTCTTACATAAAGCACTGACTTGAGGACCAGGTGCAGCTACCCTTTCAGGTGGAAAGAAAATGGCCCTGGAGAGAAATTAAATAGGAGAACAAGACAATCCCGGATCATTTATCAACTCATTTTTCTTGCTCGCATATAGAGCTATTTTTTGATCCTTCTGTGGGGAACTGGGCTTATGCCACAGCTTCCTCCTTCCACTTGTCAGGAAGAATCTTGTTCAGTAAAATTAGTTAGCAGGGAATTCAGTCATTAATCATCTCCCATGCAGCTTCATGCCCAAGACAGACATTTTGAAGATCACCTTAGGTCCACTTCCTTGTTAAGTGTTGAGATGAATTGCAAGGGAGTAGAGAGAAATGAAGTAGAAAGGAGGTAAAGAGAGAGACGGAGGCATTTAAAACTTTTAGCAGTCTGAGTCTGGCAGCTGTGCAGAAGGACATTTGTCTGTGTCATTGATGTTCTCCCATAATAGCAAATTATGTTTTTTTTAAATTGAATAAAGGACAGTTGGATGGGTTTGCCCAACAGGCTATCATACAATATATTCTACAAATCATGATGCCTGGGTTCACCAGTACACTAAGCTACAAATAAATGAACTACGTTAAACATGTTGTATGTGTGCGTGTGTCCCAATGTGTTAAGACTGCAACTCCTATACAGTGGCATCCACAGCAAACTGTAATGAAGCCAAAATGATATGCATGCAGTGGAAACTCACATAAATGTGGCAATTACAATATATTATTTTGTCTTGCACAAGTACATAGTTTCAGAGGTGGTATTCAGCAGGTTCTGACCTGTTCTGGAGAACCAGTGGCAGACATTTTGAGTAGTTTGGAGAACCGGCAAATACCACCTCTGACTGGAGATTTTACAGTATTCTTCCCCTGCCATGCCCACCAAGCTACACCCACAGAACCGGTAGTAAAAAAAAATTGGAATCCCACCACTGATAATTATGCACAAGTACATAAATTGTTGCATTATGTTGTCACCATACGTGGTTCATCATTTTCCTCCTCATTCCCATGTTCTCAGAATTCCCAGGCTGGGCAATATGATATTAGGCCTTGCCAAACAACCCTCCAGTGCCTTGAATAATAAACTAGAACAATAAAAAGCATCATGCATAGTTTGGCACCAATTATGCAAACATATTTGCTATGGTTTATAAGCATCATTTAGTTAGAGTACAGTTTTGGATGGCTTGGGACTTGCGGGTTTTTGGTTTTTTTTGGTTCCCCTAGAATTGTGTACAATATACCCAAATTATTAATTCTCTATTGCCAGAGAGACAGGATTAAAGAAATGAGATGCCAGATAGCATAAGTACAATTCTTTAAGTAACTTAGAATGTCATCAAGACATTTAGAGCCAAGAGACCATTTCTCTGAAATAATCTGGAGATTTTGCAAAAATGTACACAACAGTAATTTCTATCATATGCAGAATTATTGGTAGTAACGTTTAGCTAACCTTGTTTGGGTTCCCATGTTAAACAGGATTTGACCTGGTTAGTAACTGGAGTGGTGGTGGGGGCTAAAAGTGAACTGGAGGGCTGTAAACTAGTCTGTGAAATTGAAAAAAAATCTCCTGAAAATAAGCAATAATTGAAATAATCATTTATTTCAAGGCTGTTGCCAAGAAAATTGCATAGTTATGTCCCTGTAGGTACCAGGACTTCAATTCAACTCAAGAGTACGTAGACATGTTGATTAGCCTTGTGGTTGGTGAAATAAAATTGCTGGTATCATTCCGTTGATGCATTCAAATGTTTTGGCTGTGGATAACGTGTTTGGCATTTATTTATTACAAGATTTATCACTGGCCTCCTGAGTAATTTTATAATTTAAAAACAAAACCAAATCAATAAAAAGTTGGCAAGATGCAAGCCAAAATGAAATAAAAAGGCATAAAAGCGACATAAAAACCAATTTATGGAAAGTAACATTATTTAATAGATTATGGAGAAAAGGGTATTTTCTGTAATGGTGCAAAAATAAGGGCAAATATCTTCTCTGGGGGAAAAAATTCCAAAGTTCAGGTGCCATCACAGAATCTCTTCTTCCTGGAGATGATGGCTCACTTCCCTTCAGATGGCATCTAGACAGAACTTCCAAAGAACTTTACATACAGGCAGGCCATGTTCAGATAGCAGACTTAATCTTGTCAGCCACTAACTTGGCCAGTTTTCCTTATTGGTAGTTCGGCCAGCCCATATCAAAAGACTAAAAGTCACTTGGTTGCAAACCCAGAGCCTTCCATAATCTACCTGTCAAGAGACTCCCAACCAGTTCTATCCATAGCTCCTTCTGCTGCAGTTCATTAATATTTGTGAGGAGTGGCTTCCAGGATGCCATTGGCATTGTAATAAATAAGCCTTGCTTTTGTTTTTTTCCCTTTCCCTTTCTTGGAAAAGTGGCTATAGTAGATATTAGAAATTAGCCCATTTTTATTTAGTTGAGTCACGGTGTTCGAATGACACAGTTGACAAGGGGAGACGTTTAATCCAAAATAAATTCAGGGTGGTTTGGGGGTGAGGCTAACGCTAACCTTTCCTGCCCCGCTGCTGATTAAATGATGATGTTTGCACAATGTATGTACTTGAGGATGCGCTAATTGAGTGGATTATGTGACTTGGGCCAAAGAGTTTAAAACTTTGGTGATCCTTTTCATGAGACCTTTTCACTGGGTGCACTTAACCCAGCTGAACAATTTCCATGCAAATTAACACTCACAGGACAACAGTTACTTTGGTAACAGGCAAATGCCAACTTGCTATGTTGGTAACAGGCAAAGGCCAAGGCTATGTTTAGCCTGGTCCAATGCAGTGACAAAATGCCCCCAGAGACTGCCCCTGTCAACTCATAAAATATTTCTATGGTCTTTTTAGAGTTGCCAACAGAAAGGGAGGTGGGAGCAGTGCAGCAGCTTGCAAAACCGAAACTACATTCCATAAATGTTTTCAAAAATAGTAACTAGATGATCAAAGTTTCTACCAGGCAATATTCTAATTGGAGAGCATGATTGATGACTCTTGGCTATGGATGTGTCCCGTTGGAAAATATGAATTATGATATACCCAGGGCGTGGGGGAAAACCAGGGTGACAGTGAATTATGTATCTCAGAGTCTCCTTTTTGAAGTTTTGGAAGTTTGGCTCGAGACTCATGATTTAAATGGGGTTAAGTGCCAGAATCCTGACAGCACCATTATTAGGGGAGTTTACTAGAGAGTAGATGGGCAGCTTTGTTTCTTTTTCAGAAAGTCAGCACAGTGTCACTCTAAGTCAAAGGTCTCCAAACTTGGCAACTTTAAGACTTGTGGACTTCAACTCCCAGAATTCTC